TCCAGCCAGAGAACTTTTGCATTTTTAATACAAAACAATTGAATAACAAATCAAAAACTTAATATTTCACTGTGAAACATTTCGCATATCTTTCCACCTACTGCTTGGAATCTCATTCGGTCTTTTGCAGTCTCTTCAGAGTGCTAATAGCTCCTCATACACGAAGTTTGGTAATTTTTGAACAAGTCCAAGGTAGTCATTCTAATTATTTTTGTATTTTTTGCGCATTTTCAGCTCTTTCTCTAATACCATTTCCCCCAGGCCTCGGAGCCTCACCAGTCACTACTGAAATATGCTAATGGACACTACCCTGACTCGAACGCACCATTTAATGGGTGCGATATGCAGATTTGGCAAGTATTTACATAGATACTGATGGTGGGGACTACCTCATCCTTCTCCTCTTAATAACTTTACACAGAATCATCCCCTTGCTTTTGCAAGTACCTCGTTTTGTTTCTATGCATTTATTGTCATTTATCATGGCCTTACATGTGCCAATACCCCCCATCCTGGAGGTTAATAGAATATCTTAGATCCTGGGAAATCGGTCAATAACCCAGCTTCCAGGCAATATAAAAATATGTTAAAATATGTTAAATTCATGAATAAATATAAACTACTCACGTACCAACTTTCAGACTTTCAGAGGTATGTTTAGTGGGATATTCAGAGTGGGTCTCCTGGTGTACCTATACCCCCCCTCAGATATACTACACCCAGACACCCCCTGGCATTATCAATGGTACTATTACTCTCAGACATGTATTCCATGATTTTTGGCCAAGTGAAATGGCCCCAAATGTGCCCAAGGATGCATGAGTGCACCATGCATTATAGTAGGCAAAATTGCATTTGCCATATCTCAACGAATTTTCATTCATTTCACACGATAGGAGGGTCTACAGGAAGGTATCAATGTACCCAACATCTCGCTCAGCCAAAGCTAAGCGAAATAATCCAAGGGGGAGCCAGAATTATGCACGGATGTGCAGGCATCAAAATATTGCCAAATTTGGCAAAGCGCATCAAACCCCGCCACGCACACTATTCCTGGCTGTGTGGCACACCCCATAATTCATAATAAA